GAAGAAATTGACAAACTTCCCAAGCACAATAGTGTCTACGGCTTCATCACCAGTGTTAACAGAGACGGATGGCTCTCATTAACATGCTGCAATGGTGAAACGAGGAACTGGCTGACCACTTGTGTCCCAAAACTCAAACCATTCCCGGATGCTATTCTCAAAGTGTTTCAGGGCGAAGAGATGCCCAAAACCTATGTGTGCATCACATTTATTCCCCCCTCTGCTGTGCTACCACCAGAAATTCTGATGTCCCGATTGGAAAAACAAAATGGTGGCATTTGCACATCATCGTGGAGAATTCTCAGGACTGAGAAAGATAAGAATGGTGGGGAAACCGTTACGATCTCAGTGGACGAAAAATCCAAAAATTGGATAGTCGGTCAGGCAGGAAAGCTGTATCTGAACTTCACACAAATTCACGTACGTGTGAAGGGAGAGCCAACTGGACCCAAGAAACTGACGACAAAAAGGCCATTTACGACAGAGAAACCCAGTGACGTCAAGCAACAGGTGCCTCCATCCAAAAGGCCGCTTTCAGGTGATAGACCCAGTACCTCAAAAGCACAGGCAGATAAGCCAAGTGAGACGGTTAAGGTCACACGGGACAGCACCCGAACTGAAGTCGGACCCAGCACCTCAAAACAGCAGGGTGGCACACCGGTATCTAGCATAAAGGACCAGAAGCAAGGGCCAAAGAAACCAGCTTCAAGATCCCCTCGACAGGAAGCACCCACTCATGGGACAAAATTGCCCAAGTGGATGCGGAACGGTAAAGGACGATACCAATAAAATGATGAGGTGCCTGCAGGTTAATCTTCAACACGCCAAAGCTGCTACGGCGGTGTTGACACAGCGACTTCTATCTGAAAAGATTGACCTAGCCTTTATCCAGGAGCCATATGTATATGAGAACCAGATAAAAGGAATAAAAGGTAAGCTACTGTACGATCATGCCAGCCATGGTCGACCTCGTGCTTGTATTGTGGTAAGAGATGACATTAATACTTTCATTATTCCACAGCACACCAACAAGGACCAGGTAGCAGCTATAATTTCTGTGGACACCCCAGTAAGTAACACAGAGCTCATTGTCTGCTCATCTTACCTACCTGGAAACTCCCAAGACCTAGACTTCCTATCACTGAAAGGACTAGTAGACTACAGTGTTAAAAGCAAGAGGCAACTCATCGTTGGAAGTGACACTAATGCACACCACACGATCTGGGGCAGCACCGACATCAATAAAAGAGGTGAGTGTCTATTTGAATTTATAACTGGTAACAACCTAAATATGTTGAATACGGGCAATAAGCCCACTTTTATAAACAGAATCAGGGAAGAGGTATTAGACATCACCCTAGCAACACAATTTATAAAACATTTTATCAAAAACTGGAATGTTTCAGCAGAAACATCCATATCTGATCATCGTCAGATAAGATTTGAAATTGATCTAAATATGAAAATAAGGGAACCGTATAGGGTGCCAAGGGCCACAGAATGGGATCTTTATACTGACGAACTCAAGGCCAATCTAGGCAGTAATAAACATACGATAAAAAACATTCATGATTTAGAAATAGCTGATGCTGCCTTAAACACAACTATTATAAATGCCTACCATGAGGCCTGTCCGGTGAAAAATAAGACCGGCAACAGAAGTGCACCATGGTGGAATAAAAAGTTAGCCAAGCTAAAAGTCGAATCCCGAAGACTCTTCAACAAGGCAAAAACCAACGGTGAATGGGACAATTATAAAAATGCCCTCACCGCCTACAATAAAGAAATTAGAAGGGCAAAAAGAGAATCATGGAGAGGCTTTTGCTCAGAGATTCAAAACTGAAGCAATAGCGCAAAAATCCAAAGGGTCATCTCGAAAAGCCACACTAATCCCATTCCAATCCCAAAACGACCTGATGGTCTTTATACCAATGACTGCAAAGAGTCACTTATACTTCTAACAGAAGTACACTTTCCGGGATCTACAATTTACGACCAATCAATCTCCCAGCTTAGTTCCCTGGTGACCAAAAGGCCCAGAAACAATGACAGGAAGACTGCTCGTAAAATCTTCACTGAAGATAAAATTAAATGGGCGATCAACTCATTTTCTCCTTTCAAAGCCCCTGGAGCAGACGGAATATTTCCAGCACTCCTACAAAAGGGACTAACTCACCTTATGCCCTACCTCATTAATATCTTTAGAGCTGGGCTGGCGATGGGAATCATTCCCACTAATTGGAAGGAAGCAATTGTCAAATACATACCTAAAGGAGGAGGTAAACCTAGCGAACTTCCTAAATCCCATAGGCCTATAAGTTTGACTACATTTCTTTTAAAAACTATGGAGAAGATAGTGGAAAGGCATATAAGGGAAGAGTATTTATCTATAAATCCACTCCACGGCAACCAGTACGCCTACCAACAAACTAAATCCACCACACATGCATTACTCAGTCTTACTAATAAAATACAGGAGTCTGTAGATTGCAAAGAATTTGCGGTGGGATGCTTTCTTGATATTGAGGGAGCGTTTGACAATACTGATCACTCACATATCGTAAGATGCCTCCATGACAGAGGAGTAGATGATACGACACGCACATGGATAAGCAATGTACTAAGAAATAGAATAAATCCATTCTCGGCAATGCCGAAATAAAAGCACATACTCTAAGACGATGCCCACAAGGGGGTGTATTATCCCCACTCCTGTGGTCAATTGCAGTGGACGAGCTCTTGCATGGACTCAGTGTCAAACATTTCGAGGCACAAGGCTATGCTGACGATATAGTCATACTTGTCAGGGGTAAATATGAAGACATGATCCCATATTGACTTCAGCAAGCCCTGAACATCGTAAGTAGATGGTGCAATGAAGTAGGATTAAATGTAAATCCTAAGAAAACAAGTCTGGTAGTCTTCACAAGGAAAAGGAAAAGAGTACTTTCCAATTACCCATTCCTGAATGGAGAAAAGCTATCAGCCGTTACCCAAGTAAAATACCTGGGAATGATTCTGGATGAGAAGTTGACGTGCAATGCTCATGTAGACAATGTTATACGAAGAGCCAGAGAGGCATTATGGACCAGCAGAAACCTCATTGGTAAGCACTGGGGCTTTAATCCAAAACTCAGCCTTTGGATGTACACATCTATTGCCAGACCAATTGTAACTTATGGATCAGCTATCTGGTACAAAAAAGCACAACAGAAGACTGTTATAGATAAACTTCGTAAGCTGCAGATATTAGCCTGCATAATGACAAGTGGAGCGATGAGAACTACCCCGACAGCAGCCCTAGAGTTTGCATTGGAGCTCCCCCCACTTCACCTACTAGTCAAAAAGGAAGCAATGATTTTTATGGCCAAGCTACAGTTGACTAACAATCAATCAACAAGACTACTCGATAACTCCCTGTTAGGTAGGGAAATGCAAAGAGAGGAAGGACTAAATATCACCATATCTGACATTTGCTTACCTAAATTCAACTTTCACCAAAAGTTTCTAATACTAATACCAGACAGAAATGAATGGGAACGGAACATACCTCCATTCGCTGGAGACTACCATCTGTGGTACACGAATGGCTCCAAAACGATGGAAGGAGTGGGGGCGGGAGTATATGAAGTAAGACCTAAAGAGGAAATATTTGCGAGTATGAGTAAAGAAAACTCAGTTTTTCAGGCTGAAGTACACGCAATTCAATTATGTCTCAGGGTATATAAAGGTAAACCCGTCACAGGAAAAAACATATATATCTTTTCTGACAGTAAATCGACACTCCTGGCACTACGCTCACCTCGAGTAACCTCAAAAATAGTCTGGGAATGCCTTCTACTTCTCAAAGACCTTGCTGAAAGGAACAGAGTCCACTTAATATGGATTCCAGGGCACAGCGGTTTTGAGGGAAACGAAAAAGCAGATGAACTAGCGAGAAAAGGGGCGGCCTCATACTATATTGGGCCACAACCATTCTGCGGTCCTTCGTGGAGCTTTTTCAAACTTAAAACTAATGAATGGCTGGAAAGAGCAGCTCAGAAAGATTGGGATAATACAATTACCTGCAATCAAGCAAAAGAATCCATGCCGTTTTGATCAAAAGCCAGAACTAGGGAGCTACTTATGCTGAACAGAAGTAGCATCCGACTTGTCACAGGTTTTCTAACTGGACACTGCGGAGTTAAAAAACATTTATTGAATCTAGGTATTACTGGAGACGATAGCTGTAGACTTTGTTACGAAGAAGAGGAAACAGCAGAACACATATTGTGTCACTCTGATAGTCTCGCAAGACTCAGACTTCGCTACTTATCCATTACCTATCCGCTTATAACGGAATTAGGCAACATCTCTCCAAAGGACATACTAGCATTCTTAACTGCTACTCGTCTATGGAACTGAAGTGGGTATGTCACAATAATCCTCGAGGATGCAGTGATGCGGTAATTACTTCCCAACCCTTCTTTTGAAAAAAAAAAAATATACATGTTGTTTTTTAGTGTATTAACATTTTACTTCTACACAGGCCTACATAACAAAACATTTATTAAACATGTTTACAGATGTTAATATGCTCTTGATGTTATAATTTTCCGGTCTCCATAGTTAATTTTCAAGTCAACAATGTGAGCCTTTATTATTTTATTGTCCCGATGGCCTTCAGGCTAATTATTACTGGTGAAATGAATGTTTGCACTTGATAAGGACCTTCAAATTTTGGAGCTGATTTTGCGAAAAAATCCGTCGCTGCTTTGAACAGTGGATGTTGTTAACTGTTACGATATAAAATCAATTATCGTAACGAGATGGCATCACTAAGGTGATCAGCTGTTTTGGAGCATGAGAAGAAAAGGAGAGATAGAAAAAGCGCGTGCACATGTAATAATTAATTGATAATTGTATAAATGATTTTGTGAATAAATAAAATAGAATTATATAAACACAGAAATATAACAGTGGCGACGAGGAAAACTTTTAAAGTGTAAAAATATAGCAAGATGGCAGAGCAACTTGCTGATATTCTGAAACAAATTCAGAATCAAAATCATCAAGACAATCTTGCAATGCAGAATCTTATCGCAAAATTGTTTAAAGAAGGAAAATCAGAAGAGCATTCATCGTCAACATCCAAGCCAACAGAACCAGAATTCATAATTGAAGCACTTGCATCAAACATCACAGAATTTTGTCACGATCCAGAAAATAACATTACATTTGACACTTGGTACATGCGGTACGAAGATCTGTTTCTAATCGATGCTGCAAAATTGGATGATGCCGCAAAAACACGATTGCTTTTACGTAAATTGAACACCATTGTTCATAATAAGTACACCAATTATATTCTACCAAATCATAGTCGTGATTTTACTTTTAAAGACACAGTAGAAAAACTTAAGAAACTTTTTGGAAATCAGATTTCATTATTTAATACTAGATTCAATTGCTTACAGATAACAAAGCAGCCCACACAAGATTTCGTTACATATGCGAGCATGGTTAATAAGCAATGTGAATTATTCAAACTGAATGATTTAACTACAGATCAATTTAAGTGTCTAATATTCATTATGGGGTTAAAGTCACCATCAGAATTTGAATTACGCACAAAAATGTTAAATAAATTGGAAAATGAAAGCACGAAAGTCACGTTGGAGACCTTATCAACAGAATGCCAAAAGATACTAAATTTAAAAGTCGATACAATGCTCATAGAAAGCAATGCACAGGTAAATCGTTTACGTGTCAATAACCATAAAACTGAAAAACAAATCAAAAATAATGGCAGGTCAAAAGAATCTTCAAGTTTACCGAAAACACCTTGTTGGTTTTGTGGTGAATTTCATTACTCGCGGCACTGTCCATTCAAAAATCACAAATGCGACAGATGCAAACTTGTCGGGCATAAAGAAGGATATTGCAAATACCGAAAAACTCAAAATGAAAATCAAAAATACCATAAAATTGATAAGGGCCGTCAATTCAATTCCAAAAGCATCTTTACTACAAACAAAGTCAATATGATTAATCGCAAATACATATTAGTCAAAATTAATGGCACACCATTAAATTTGCAACTTGACACAGCATCAGATATAACAATAATTTCTGAAGACAATTTCAAAAAAATCAAAGCCGATAATGTTAGCGAATCAGAACATACAGCACGCAGTAATCACAACGAAACCAAACGTTCAGCCAGTATTTAGGCCAAAGCGTCCAGTTGCATATGCGGTACAACAACTAGTTGAAGATGAACTCAAAAGACTCCAAGAATTAAAGGTTATTTCACCAGTAAACTTCTCCGCATGGGCAGCACCTATAGTTGTTGTGAAAAAAACAAACGGAAACGTACGCATATGTGCTAATTTCTCAACTGGTGTAAACAACTGCCTCGAATCACATCAATACCCATTACCATTACCAGAAGATATATTCTCAAAATTGGCAAATTCAAAAATATTTAGCCATATAGATTTATCGGATGCATTCTTACAAATCGAGGTTGATGAAGCATCGAAACATCTACTAACAATAAATACACACATCGGGCTATTCCAGTACAACAGAATGGTTTTTGGAATAAAAACATTTCCAGCAATTTTTCAACAAATGTTAGCAGGACTAAATTGCACTGCATCATATATTGATGACATATTTGTTTCCGGTAAAACAGCATCTGAACATACAGACAATTTATATGCAGTTCTTACAAGGCACGTGATAATGGGTTTAAATTAAAAT